TGTGTGTGTGTGTGTGTGTGTGTGTGTGTGTGTGTGTGTGTGTGTGTTTTGCCTATTTGCTTAGTGATGTGCAGCTAAAACTAAATATGCAAAAAAAATTGCTTTGGGTAACAGAAGAATTGATTTAGGCTTTGATCTGAACTGAAATCAAAGCTTTTTCTCAGGTTCAGGAAAGTTTGGCTAACATTTCCTCTGCATTATTATTAGCACTTTTTCCACACCTCTGCACTTTCTAGTTCCAGCCAGAATCAGTTGTATCAAGTCTCAATATCTAAATGCTGATCGTGGCACCCATGAAAAAAGTACAATACTAGAAATCTTTTGAGCCTATTTCTTTTAAAGCCTACTTGTACAAGATTTCAAAACCAAATCTGCAGGCTCATGAGATTTGGATAGTTTATATAAGGTTTAAAATAAACACCCAAACTTTTGGAAGCCAAATCTTTAAATTTTGTTCTGGTTTGCCATCACTAATTATATCTGAGTGACTGTCAAGCAGTTCTGTTGCCATAGTCACTACTGTTGTTGACACACTTGCAGTAGCTACTGGAAGCAGGAATATCTGAGCATATAATTATAAAAAAACATTTAGGGCCTGATTCTCCTCCCACTTCCACTACAGTAGCTGCACCAACTGTTGCTACTCCAGATTTACACCCTGTGTAAATGAGCAGAATGACCCATAACCACAGTTAGCATAATTAATTTGCCTAGCTTTTTCAGGTAGATCTTCTCTCAATAAACCCTACAGAGTGAAAACTTTTGCTTTACTGTCTGAAACAACTTTCAAAAGCAGAGTTTCCAGTCAAGAAAGAAATACAGTGACATAGTGAATGAGTTCCTCAATTGCCGTAAATCAGTGTAGCATCACTGAATGGAGGCACACCCTTTACACCAAAAAGATGAGTCCCAGTACACATTGGGAATGGAATGTCTACACGGCAATGAAAAACCCACAGCTGACCTGGGCCAGCTGACTCAGTCGCTGCAGGGCTGTTCCATTGCAGTGTAGACGTCAGGCTGGAGCCTGGGCTCTAGGACTCTGCGAGGTGGGAGGGTCCCAGAGCTCAGGCTGCAGCCCAAGCCCGGAAGTCTACACTGCAATGAAACAGCCCTGCAGCCCAACTCAGCTGGCCCAGGCCAGCTGCAGGTTTGTAACTGCAGTGTAAAGATACCCTTGAGGTGTCTGTTCAGTCCAAGCTTGCCTCTGTGAGCATCCCTGATTCCACACCACTCTCACTGTTCCAAGGATATTCTTACCCCGTAATCTTGACCCTTCCCAGCATAGCTCCCTCACTGTGGGGATGTTTATGTATTGTCCCCCTCCCACCTCCCCTTGTACACTTGGCTCACCTTGTCCCTGAACAGACCAACCTGGTGGCTAGGCACTTTACATACCTTTCAGGGGCTTATGTTCCCTAGAAAACCATGTTTCATTTTATTTTGTTTACAATGAGTAACAGCAAATATCTGCAACTCATGCAATTTTCTGCAGGAAGGTGGCAATAAGCATTCCAGCAGCAACACATTATTTTCCAGCAAGAAGTAAAGACAGTAGAACCAGCTTATTAGGAAGCTCTATATATCCCTGTACTGATGGTTAAAATGGGTAGAGAAAAACAAATAAAAACAATCAGATTTTCATAACTGGAGGTCAGTACAATATTCAATTTTTCCATTTTTAAAGAGAAAAGATAACCCCTCCACACCTCAGAGAATGGTGTTCTTAGATGTTATGGGCTGTAATGCTTATGAGATGTAAGATGGCTGTCTCGGCTTTTCTACAAAATACAGTTACAAATCACACAGGACTCTGAATTCAATGTAAAGAAGTGATCTATCGAGGCAATGGGTTACCCTGGAGGAAAACCCAGTGTGGGATCAGAATCAGGCCAAAGTATATCTGGGATAAAAATGCCCTCCCTCTCTTTATGGTATGTACTTACTGTGACCAATGTGGGAATTTTCTGTAATATTTTTATGAGCTATCTGTATGACTCTGTACCGATCACCTTCACATCGCTACCTATTGGGGGTGGAATTTTCTCCCTAGCACACAGGAAACCAGGCTAGGTCTGAGACAGATAGCCGCTCAGACTGGCTGGGCTGGAATCAACACCTTTGAATGAAAGACCCTATAGAAACAACGGAAACTCCAATGACTGAAAATTAACAGTTATCTGCAGATGCAGCTAAACATGTGAACACAGCATGGCTGTGTCCAGAGAACAAAAACAAGTAGTATCAGGTGGCTTTGTTAACAGTTGAGCCCTCAGAGACACAGGGGCTCACTTGGGACTGTCGGACAAAAGGACAAGAGAAGAGAAGCAAAGATGGTTCCTACAGCTACGGTTGCCAACCCTCCAGGAGTCTCCAGGAATTTAAGATTAATCTGTAATTAAAGATTATGTCATGTGAGGAAACCTCCAGGAATACATCCAACCAAAATTGGCAACCCTACCTAGAGCAGGGTGGCTCAAGGGAATCTTGGCATTACTCTGTCTTAACCTTTGCTTCTCTCTGCTAAACTAAGGACTTTTCAGGTTCTTTATGCCAGTGGCTAATAAATTATTACCTTAAAAAGGCTGCTTTGGGTCACTGCAAATACTTACTAAGAGTATTGTGTCCTAAAGAGGTATGGACAAGCCTCCTGCAAGAGTCTGGTTTGGCCAGAGGGAGCCATGGATTGCTGGTGCCTGAAGGCCCAGTTTCAGAGTCACGGAGGCAGTGGCCCTACCCCTGTGGAATTGGGTGGACTCTTAGGGTCTGGCACACTAAAGGGGTCACTCCCCAGGGACTGGTTACAGGTTGGGGCATAGACCAGATGAGACCATAGCCTGATGCACACCCCCACCCCCAATTGACTGACCAGGAAGCACATTGCATCATCTTAACTGTTATGAAGAGTATATTAATCAGAAGATGAGACATACATAGAGCTTTTATCATTCATATAGAGACAGATCACCAAACCTTTCTGACCCTTGACTTTTTTTCCTATGTAAGCTTAAAGCCTGTTCCATTAACACCACTTGGAATTATGTAAATGTCTGTCTACATGGGGATAAAAAAGCCACGGCTGGCCCAGGTCAGCTGACTCGGGCTCATGGGGCTCAGGCTTCGGGGCTGAAAGATTGATGTGTAGACATTTGGGTTTTGGCTGGATCCCAAGCGCTACGACCCTGTGAGGGTGGAGGGTCACAGGAACCCGAACATCTACTCAGCATTTTTTAGCCCTGCAGTCCAAGCCCAAGTCAGCTCACCTGGGCCAGCCAGAGCCATGCCACAGGGCTTTTGTCCCTGAGTATATCTACCCTAAGTAAGGCAAACAGAGCTGGGCTCTGACGGGCCAGGTACAAACACACAATAGAAGATTAACAGGTGTTACAGTGGAGAATACTAGCACTCAGCAGGAGGTGTAGGAAGAGAACTGGTGGCATGTCAGAAGTGCGCTGAGTTTAATGAAAGGAAAGCTAAATATACAGAACTTTTAAGAAGCAGATCAGGGCTCCTTTATTTGGGTCTCCCTTTTCTAATGGCAGTATGCCTACCTTTTGCTTCCTGAAAGCCTGTTTGGGACATGAAATCTTTAATGACTAACTTCAGGTAACACCTTACATAGCTGAATATAGTAAACTGTTAAATGCCTTTTTGTGTGAATTTTTAAAGTTATGAGCTGCCCAGATACTTTAAACATTTCATGCAAAGAAATTACAGTTCTAATGAGATAAAAAAGATAAGTCTATATTCGTGAAGAAATAAAAAATGTCAGAATGAGATAAATTGTAAAAGTTACTTTCAGTTTAAATGGAAGTTTCTTCTGCAGATACTTCAGGGCTGTTTTCATGAAACTAGTCAGCCTATGTCTGCATAAGGACATTCATTTCTTTGAGCAGAAAATGCAGGTATATTTTAGTACAAACACCACTTTCTTGTTATGCACCTAATACACACATTTTCCAACATGTGTTAGTGGGCACTTCTTGATTCTAAATTAGGCAAGGGATTGGTCTTAAAAGGTGTGGAGTCAGACAAAACAAGGCACTGAAAGTTTTAACTGATAAAATATGTAAATGCCTAAGAAACAGAGTGTAAAGTATCAAGAGTGGAGTCGTTGTTATGCATTCTTAAAGTGTCTGAAGCATTTCACCAATCACCACCATAACATCTATAGCTGTAAAAGTCAGGTGAAATGCACATGTTCAAAGGAATGATCTGTGGAAAATGTACACAGTAAAATACATCATTGTTGCTATAAAAAGGGACATTCTGTAAATGTACAGTCTGATTAAAAGGAAAGATAACCCTTGTATAAAACAGCATTCAGCTTTTCAAACGTCAGCTGCAGATGGGCACAAACTCAATTTTAAATTGTTCCATGCTTCTGAAGCTATTTGCTGTACTATACTTAAACTGACAGAGTTATGATAAAGATGGCGGAAGATGATTACCCAATAATTTTTCTGCAAGACTTACTTCTCTCAACTCATGAAGCTGCACAATGCTGAAAAGGCTGCAACTGTATAAGAGAGCATGAAATAGTTGATAACTAATTTCCATATATACCAAGTGAGAACTGCCAGTGCTTTATGCTGTAGTTCTGTTTGTGGTCTGCAGATCACCAGTAGCCCAGGGAGCCCTTCCTAGTGCTCTACAGAATGAAATGTGTTCGAAGTCAAGCAGTGAAGGGAAAAGGGGGTTGGGATGGGTTAGGTAGCTCATAGAAGGATTTTCCTCTCTAAGAAATGGCCCACTGCATGAAAACACTGGAAAAACCAATAGTGCTTCGTGTTTAGCCCTTCTATACCCCCAAACTATTTCCTATGGACAATATGTAGATGGAGAGGCTTGGTGCTGAACAGAACCCTCCATAGGCAGAAGGAAAAAGAAAACACTTCCTCTCACTGCCAATGTTAACAGACGTATACCACCTCTAATCCCCAGCACACTGTTGCTAGGGAACTGTGTATTAGGTATTAATTTACAGGGCCTGCTAGCTAGCGGGTAGTTTGCTGGGGAATGCAAGGCTTCTTTGGATTGAAACTCCTGAAAGCTCTCCTGTATGGATGTGAATGAACAAAGAATATATGAATCATTTTTTTCTTCCTGAGTTTTCCGCGGACTTCTCTTCAGACATGCTCTAACAGAAGGTTTGCTGTCTCAGATGAACCTAATGTTTACAGGACTTAAGAGAAACATCTGTGGCCAGGTTGGTTTTTTTCTGTTGTAACTGATAGTATACAGCCATCACCTGCCTGCTGTAACAGTCATCAACTAAGTGTATTCATCTCATCTGTAATTACAGAATTAGATGTTCAAAGCTGCCTAAATGATACATATCACCAATTACCACTCATTTTAATAGAAACTGGGCATCCAAATACCTTAGGTAGTTTTGACTGAACCATAAGTTGTTGTTGGTTGTGGGTGTTTTTTGTGATCAAGGCATGATGGGGGAAAAAAAACCCACAGGATAAAAGGAAATAGGTTCTCTCCCAAAAATGAAATTCACCCCAATGCAGAAATCCAGCACAAGGCTGGCACTACTTATGTCCTATTTGAAGGATTCAAAATGGGACTAGCATTTAATTGTAGGTGGATTTGTGTGCTGAATTTCACCCTTTAGTAGTAGTGAAACTGGTTGCATCTCTCTGCTACTAGATAAAACATAATTATTCAGAAAACCTCCTTGAAATTTAATTAAACCATTTATGGGCTTTTGGTGTTGGGAGCTGTAATCTCCTAACTGAATTTTCTTCATTCCTGTTTTGGTTTGTTACTTTAGTCCAATATTAATCATAAAGAAATGTAGCAAAAAGAAGAACAGGAGTACTTGTGGCACCTTAGAGACTAACAAATTTATTAGAGCATAAGCTTTCGTGGACTACAGCCCACTTCTTCGGATGCATATGCATATGTAGTCCA